ATGATTAAAACAATGAAAAATGTGTGTATGTAGATAAAAATTGGGATGCAATTTAGAGAAATGATGTGAGTTAATTTAGGGTGGTGGAATCGAAGCTGAATTTTAAAAATCTATACACACTATTACATTCACAAATGGTTAGAAAGTTGCCAGTGCTGCTGCTAAAACACAGCATTGTTTCATTGCCCAGTTGAAACACTGCCCGATCCCACCCAAGTCAGAGGTTCATGGACTACGTCTGGAAGCATAAGAAACTGCTTACAGTCGCTGCCCCTGAGTAGGGGAAGCGGGGCTTGCGGGCCTGGGGAAGAGGGCTAGGAAGTGACTTAATTTCACTATATGTGCTATATTCGTTGGTGCCTTTTGGATTTTGTATTCCTTGCGTGTGGTGCCAATGAAAACATGATGTCTAGGCTCAATAAATCTACATATTTCTGATCTGAAAAATTTCCCCAGTGGTCTGATGGGACAGAAGAGTTGAAGTCAGTGAGGTGTTGGAAAATGCAAAACATTTAGTTACTGCACCATATACATGGAAAGGCAGAGAGTGGAGACAATGCCAAGGCTACAAAGAGAACAACAGGTGGGAGTGAGCCTGCCTAGGAGTCCACATGAAGCAGTGGAGACCAGGTAGAATCTTGGGGCTGTGGCCAAGGGAGCAGAAAACTGCAATGCAGAAGATGAGCGGAGATGGTGGCACAGATGGCAGATGAAAAGTGTCCGTGGATGGCAAGGAGAGGGGCCACAGGGTGGAGTCAAGGGAGACCAGGACTACTCACTGTGCTGTAGTGTGGACAGACACTGAGGTTATGGCCCGTGCAGTGGATGGCTGCTGTGACTGGACATGCTGGGTGCATAAAGTTGGGGCACCAGGGAAGTGTGGAGCCAGGGTGCCTCCTGGGATGGCTGCCGAGACCAGTGTGAGCTGGGGAGGAAGCAGACGCACAGGCTGGTCTCAAGGCTGTGGAGCCAGTGGGGTTGGGTTAGCTGCAGATCTTAAAGGCTTCTTCTCTTAAACAATGAGTAGGATGGAAAGAACAGTATTGGCAGTCAGAAGGCCAAGGTTCAAGTTCCACTTTGAGAACCAGCTCTGTGACCTTCCTCACCATTTTGTCATCCTCAAAATGGGTCATATTAGCCACCTTGTGGAGGCAGAACAAGGAGGCAAGAGTGAAAACATCTGCAAGAAATAGCAGAGATAAGCGCTGTCTGAGCTATAAACTGTAAAACCAGCATAACTCATCAGAGCATAGAGGAACCCAGTCACATTAAGGAGCTGGATTGACTCTCAGGCCTGAATGAAGGTATTTTGTTAATTAGAGCAAGGACTAAAGACCCACAGACCCCAGGAGGAGGAGAGGCAGGCGTACATGCTAGTCTATGCCCTGCTCAGGTGAGGTGCCCAGCCCAAAGCCATGGTGTCTCTGGGTCTAGAAACAGGCATCGTGTTTCTGTGGAAAAGGATGTATTAGGCTACCTTGACCCCATCAAGCACTTGAGTTACCGTAACCCTTTTCCAATTGCATGCTTACCATGTAACCTCTCATGGCATTATTTGGCTTCCCATGTAGCCTGACCCTCAGGGATAGAACTTTCTGTCCTCCAAAAATTCTCATTGTAGGCCAAAGTAGTTAGAAGCACTGATTTTGGAACCAGGTTGAGATTCTGGCTCTGCCACTTCCTATTGGTGACCTTGGGCAAATTATGTGACCTTCTTTGTATCAGTTTCCTCATCTGTAAAATGAGATACTAAGAGTAGCTTCCTGTTCCTTGTGAGGAATAATGATAAATCATGTAAGGGCCCTCGGTGCCTGGCCTGGTAGGTGCTGTACACACGTTTGTGGGGTTTATGGAAAATCGCTGACTTGGCATTCTGATTCATCCACGGTAGACTCTGTGAGCCTGCTCAGGGTGCTGCTGCCTAGAAGTTTGCTAGAGGGAGGGCGTTCCAGGTAGAGGGCGTGGTTTGCTTGAGTCTTGGAAGGGTGAACAGGCTATAGGTAGCTGGGGTGGCTGCAACCTGGGCACATGGGGCAGAATGGTGGGAGATGAGACAGAGCCGATTGGGGCCAGATCCCATGAGTATGGGCAACAACAGTTTGTACTGTGCTAATACATTCTGATTTCATCCTATAGGCCACGGTGCTTCCCTGGAGAATTTTAGGCAGGTGAGTGACAAAATGGAATTTGTGTTTTAGATTTCGAGATCCTTGACAGTGAGGTTGGCAGGGGGGTCTTGTTCATCCTTGTGACTTCAGTAAGTCACCCATCTTTTGACTCAGAGCAAGAAATCAATGAGCATTTGTGAAATGAGTGAAAGACAATGCCGGAGACTATGGAGGCCAGATGGGCATCAGGGAGACCACCCAGGGCCTGTTGCATTAGCCCAGGTGGGAGCAATGAGGGTGTGGAGAGAGGCAGCAGGAGGTACTGGGGAAGGTCACAGCAAAGATGACTTTATCTTTTTAGCTAGGGTGATGGCAAAACTACTAAAAATGAAAGGAAAACAGGAGGAAGACCAGTGTGCTTAAGTTTAGGACAACACCACAATGTGAAGTACCTAGTGGATGTCAATGAGTTTTTTCTCTTAATAATTTGCCTGTAAGCAAGGCTGTCATTGCTAACACTTCCGATGAGCTCTCTTGAATTTTTGAGGGGACCAATAATGGCAGTTTCAAGGTGGGATCTGAAAAAAAAAATCATGTGAACAGTTTTCACCCATATATTTTTGGTTTCATATGTTATGAGACATGTTTAAAAAGGCATGTATAAGGAAATTTGTCTAAATTCAAATGTTACAAACACACAGCTATATACTTGTGTATGTTGTGTGTATATCCCCAACTCTATACTGCTGGAAGTTGTGGAGACAAGCAGTACCATCTGACCCTGGACCTGGGGCCTCTCAGTTGCCTGAAAATGAGCCAGCTCTCAGACTCAATGTCCCACAGGACGGAGGGCTCCCAAAGTCTCCAAGTTCTGGATGTGGTGACGTCTGAGAGAATTTCCCTACACAGTAGGCACCTAAGATTGAAACTGCTTGGTGTGTTATCTAACATGTTTATTCCCCCACGCAAGACTACCTTTATACATACCTCATTGAATGGAAGAATATCAAGGGGTGGAGTTTCCCTGCTGGCATCCCCATGGCACATTTATCCATTTGGCCCAAGCACACCTTTCAACAGGAGGCTGGGAGGGCAGGGACCTGGCTGGGCTGATCCTGCTCTCATGAGTTCCAGCTGCACCAAATGATGCTGGTTGGTGTCTACCCTGCGCCCTTTACACAAACACCTGTGCAATCTTGTTTTAGATCCTGGGGAAATAACAACTGATTTCTGTGGATGAGAAGTTCATATCGGGTAGCAGAGGAAAATTTATTGTTTCATCTCATAACGCATGTGTTTTAATTATTTCTGCAATCAGATTTAACAAAGCTCTAAAATGAAATTTAAAGTAGCACAAAGATTTTATGAAGATCTTGTATAATAAATTTCAGCTATATTGCCTTATTCACAGAATCTAAAAGACTGCTATTTGCTTTTCTTATTATTTTCAAGGGGAAAAAAAATTTAAATCTTTCTCCCCAGGTCTCTTGAATAATAGTGGTGTATTTTTCTCTGTCGTGGTGTGCAGAAAGGCCCTCTTCTGCTGAGTTTATGGATTTTTTTTTAAGTTAATGATAGAGGTTTGTTTGAAGTAGATTTTTCTATGTGTGTGTTTGAGGTGAAATTCCTGCAAAAAGAGAGGTGAAATAGTCATCAGGGTTCTTGCTGTGACCAAGAAGGTTTTATCTCTTATGGGGGAATGAAAATAACACTTAAAAATCTTAGCTGGCTTCGTCATGTAGTCAAGTATTAAAAAACAACAAAAGCCTCATCAATGACATTACCAGATTTTTTGTTGTTGTTTTATTATTATTATTTTTTTGAGCACCCACACTGGAGTGCTGTGGCATGATCTTGGCTCACTGCAACCTCCACTTTCCAGGACTCAAGCCATCCCCCCACCTCAGCCTCTCGAGTTGCTGAGACTACAGGTGTGTGCCACCACACCCAGCTACTTTTTACATTTTTTTGTGGTGATGGTGGGGGGCGTGGTCTCACTATGTTGCCCAGGCTGGTCTCAAGTTCCTGAGCTCAAAGCCATCTGTCCACCTCTGCCTCTCAAAATGCTGGGATTATAGGTGTGGGCTACTGTGCCCAGCCTAAAGCACTTTGACTTTCTAATTAGTCAGGATACACTCGATGCTGGTAACTGCTACCTGCATCAGGGATACCTGAAAGTATCTCTGAACATCATCTCTAAGGGAAAATGTTTTGAAAAAAGTGAAAAGCTATGTGAGGAAGTACAGAATCACAAGTCACATAGAAACAAAACAGAGCCAAAATATAAATACAGAGTGTGTGTGCATATATACACACACACATTTTTTATATGCCTTATACTTTCTTCTACTCTGAAGTAGAGAGTATTATCATTCTCTTCTATATATTCAGGAATGTAATAGGTAATTACATATTTTTAGTGATCCCCTACAAATCTTGATAAAGTTGACCCAAAGTAGGAAACTGTAGTTAAGCTTAGTCTTAGTTTTGGTGGCATAAAATAAGGGAAGACTAGCCCAGGAAACTGTGGGCAGAGTCCACTAACTACTTTTTCTGCCCTGTGGTTCTTTATAGTCCTTGTAAAACCAGTAGATAACAACAGTAACTAAGGGTGTAGACCCTGGAGATGAATCAGAAGGAAACCTGGAGACTGTGAAGTGAGTTAGTAAGAGCTCTACACCCAATAGGACAAGGAAGACAATACTAGCTAGCTCATTCCTTTCTATCTCCAACTTCTAAACATTAAAAGCCACTTTTTTGGTATGTGTTTTTCTGGAAGGAATGATTGGAATATCCAAGGACGTGAGGGGAGAGGAAAGTGGTAAAATGGCATTTGCCGTAAAGGGGTGGGAAAAAAACGGAATTGCTCCAAGGTTGGTTGTGCTCTTCCAGCTCCATCTGTGATAAAGAGAATGAACAACTGGGTGTTTTCCTTCTGGACAATGATTATGACACGGATTACTACTGGGACGAGAAGCATCACCACTGTGGACAACACGGAAGAGAAGTATTATTGAGAATCACTTATAATGAGATGCTACTTCAAATTAGGAAAAATTTGATAAACAAATTTATAATACAAACGATTATAAAGACCTAAAGGTCATTCATGACAGAATTTTTAAAATGATGTGTTAATTATAAATACCAGTATCTTGCTAATTAATGTGCCTTGCTTGGGCATGTCAAGTATATAACCTATTAATATAATCTATCTGGACTGAAATGCCTTATTAAGACCCCATTCTGTAAGAGATATTTTATTCCCTGGTTTTGGGACCTGACCACTACTAATTTGAATTTTTACTATAGTCATTCCTAGGAAACGTTCAATAAAAATTTTTAGATGAATTGCTCTCAAGCCCAATTCAATGCTTGTTAATTTGTTAAGAAGATAACTAATGAGTCTGCTCATCCAGAAAGGGTATGAAAATGAGGAATTCTGGAGTTGACAAATGATGCTTATGTAGGCAGCTAGTTTTTAAAAAGTACGAAAGTTTAGAGTTCCATTTCAAAGGTTACCAAAACATGGAGTCCACATCAGCTGTTGGGAGGGGAGCCCATGGCAGGATAGTCTGAGGTGGCAGGGGTGCACACTCAGGTCATGGGAAAACACTTCTCAAAAACAAATGACAAGAGGCTGAAGTGTGGGAATAACAAGATTTTACCCCCCCAAGTTATGTTAGGGCTGGTAACAAGAAAGCATCAATGGTATTGAGTCCACTGGGGGCTCACTTCTGGGTGCTAGGCAACAAGGTATGAGTTTTGAGCTGTCCAAAGCCAGTGGTTTTTCTCAAATTTAGATAAATCTTCCCATTTCTTAGTTTTGGGACAAGGATTTTATTTGTTTGTTTGTTTCTTCCTTAAACAAAGGATTCTTGGATTCGAAATTAAGAATGACTGCTATAAAATTTAGCATGCATTCTGTTTCAACCCCAGCTGGTCTGACACCATCTGGCATACTACAATTCTGGTGGTAACCTTCTGGAGCTAGTGCAGACCCCATCAGTTACAGGCTCAGTTCTCCATAAGACTTCCTTCACTTTAGTTGCCAGCTGCAATTCAGAGGTCCTTAAGCCACCTGCACTTTTGACCAAGTGGCTACAAATTTAGGAGTTCTCACAAACCCCTCAGGTTAAAAAATTCACTAGTATGTCTCACAGAGCTTGAGAAAACACTTTTTAAAAAAATAATTACAATTTTATTATAAAGGATGCAGATCAGGGGTAGCCAAAGGAAGGGATACACAGGGTGAGTTCTGGGAGAGTCCAGAGTGTGGAGCTTCTGTGCCTTCTCCTGTGGAATCAGGGTGCTGTCACCCTCCTGACACATCAATGTGTTCATCAGCCAGGAAGCTACACTAAGCTTTGGTGTCCAGAGTTTTTATTGGGGTTTCATTATGTAGTCATAGTTCATTAAATCAGTGGCCAACTGATTGAAGTCAATCTCCACCCTCCTTTGCTCTCCAGAGGTCAGACTGAGCTGATATCACATTTCTCAGAGTCCCAACCCTCTAATCATGTGGTTGGTCTTTCTGCTGAGTCTTTCTGGTGAACAGCCCCATCCTGAAGCTATCTAGGGGGCCACCATGAGTTTCCTCATTAGCATGAACTCACTTGGCTCATGAATAATGAAGACACTTCCATCACTTGGGATATTCCAAGGGTTGTAGAAACTCCATGCCAGGAACCCTGGACTAAGACTAGACAAATTCTTTATTAAACACCACCACAGGAACACAGGTAATGTGGTCCTGCTTTCAGAGAATGAACTTTAAATGATGTACAGGGGTTCAGATTTGTTTTCCAAATGGGCCAGGGTGATCTTACCAAAACACGTGTGCTTGAAACCCTTCAGTGGCCTCCCACTATTCTTAGGACAAAGAGTAAAATCCCTAACCAGGCCTCCTGGGTCCTGCATGGCCTAGCTCCTGTCCTGTCTGACCTCATCTGACACAGCTCTTGCTCCTTGCTCTCATGGGCTGGCCCTTCAGTTTCTTGAATGCACTTGCTGTCTTGTCTGGGCCTCTCCCCTTGTTGTTCTGTGCTCGGATCTGTCGTCTCCCCAGCCTCTTGGTCTATGTGTTCCTACAGCACTTTGGCTGCTTTCCTTCATGGTCCTTGATCTGTCTTCCCTATTAGCTGTAAGCTCCAAGGTGAGCTGTTTGTGCTCGTGGTTGTATCCCTGCCCCCAAACTGGTAAGTTCCTAGTACAGAGAGGATGCTCCACATACCTTTGTCGAATGAATTAATGAAGTGGTTCTAATTCACCCCCAGGGAATTGGCAAAAACCCTTGCCCAGGGCTGAGAGAATACTGTTTGCTCTGCCTGGACTTCCCTTGTTCTTGTGTTTTCATGTTCTGCTTATTTTTATTCTTGGTGTCTCTCATTATTTTTGCCCCATGTCATTCTGTACAGGGCTCTATCTGAAGTCAGGGCCTTTGCTTATGCACTTGCTCAAAGTCTGCCCCTCCAGAGTCTTAATCAGTTGTAATCCTGAGGAGACTCTAATGTGTTTTACAAAACCCCTGCTGCTAAGTTACTAATCTGGGGAAGGCTTCTGGCTCTCCGTGGTATGGGGATTCTACCTGTGCTGCTGCTCTGCTTTGAGCCTTTTTAAAAAGCCTGCTTTCTTTGTGCCATATCCTAGCTTGGTCTTTTAACTGCTGTGTTGTTCTAGGTCATTCCTTACCTTCGTTTTTCCTGTTTAACACCATTAAGCCTCTCCTGGGCAGTACCTGCCCGTAAGGTTGTTTCTGTTAAATGACTTGATGCCTACTTTCAGGTGTATTGGTCTTGGTAAGTATAATAATTATGCTGGAAGGATATAGGAAACAGACACAGAGGAATTAAGTTAATGTTACTCGAGAACATACAGCTAGTTAGCAGCATAACTGGAATTAGAATGCCAAACTCCTGACCTCATCATATCTAGCTGTTCTTTCCACTCTACCCTGAATTGGCTCACATTTGTGAACTGGCTCACATTTGTGAATAGGAAATTGTGTTGGCTATCTTTCCACTTATCAAAGTGTTTGGAACCATAGCAAGCTATTTGCCCTATTCATATCATATCACCTCATTTGATTCTTGGACTGCAGAAACTGGGAGAAGCCATTAATAGCAGTAAACTCGACTTTTCTCAACTTTCCCCTTCAGATGTTCTGAACAAAGAGAACAAGGAACCCAGATCACAAAAAGGGCCAATTAAAGGGAATTTGACTGCATATTCAGATGTTAAAATTACTACCAACCCTCTAGGTTTCCCTTCAGTGTCCATGTTGTAAAAAATGGCTGGAAAATGTATTCATATTTGCCACCGATATGTTCATAGAATAGATGAGAAAAAAACACCTCGGTATTCCCACCTGAGATAAGAAGGTGTTCTGAAAATATCTTGTTGGCTGGGCATGGTGGCTCATGCCTATAATTCCAGCACTTTGGGAGGTCAAGGCAAGAGGATTACTTGAGCCCAGGAGTTTGAGACCTGCCTAGACAACATAGGGAGACCCTGTCTCTATAGAAGTATTAAATTAAAAAAAAAATTTGGCCGGGCGCGGTGGCTCACGCCTGTAGTCCCAGCACTTTGGGAGGCCGAGGTGGGTGGATCATGAGGTCGGGAGATCAAGACCATCCTGGCTAACATGGTGAAACCCTGTCTCTACTAAAAATACAAAAAATTAGCTGGGCGTGGTGGCGGGAGCCTGTAGTCCCAGCTACTCGGGAGGTTGAGGCAGGAGACTGGCATGAACCCCAGAGGCGGAGCTTGCAGTGAGCTGAGATCACGCCACTGCACTCCAGCCTGGGCGACAGAGTGAGACTCCATCTCAAAAAATAAATAAATAAATAAATAAATAAATAAATAAAAAATTAAAAAAATAAAAAATGTATAAAACAATAAAATTAAAAAATCTTATTATGAATGGCTTGTTTATGGTCATCACAAAGATTCATAAAAGATGAAATGTAGATATAATTTAAAGGAGATAAATTTTAGAGTTTTATGAGATTAAAAAATAAAAAAGGGCCGGGTGCAGTGGCTCACACTTGTAATCCCAACACTTTGGGAGGTCGAGATGGGTGGATCCCTTGAGCCTAGAAGTTAGAGACCGCCCTGGGCAACTTGGAAAAACCCCATCTCTACCAAAAATACAAAAATTAGCTGGGAGTGTTGGCGTGCACCTGTAGGCCCAGTTACTCAGGAGGCTGAGGTGGGAGGATCACTTGAGCTTGGGAGGTGGAGGGTGCAGTGAACTGAGATTGCACCACTGCACCCCAGCCTGGGTGACAGAGCCAGACCCTGCCTTATAAATGAATAAATAAAATAAAACATAAAAAACAAAAAGGTTGCAGAGAAAGAAAGTTTTCAGCTCTTCCAGTGGATCTGACAGGTGCTTGAATTCTGCCTTTGATCATCTTGTTTTTTGTCTGCAGTCCTTGTGTTAAAAGGGATAAAATGGAGATGATTAATCCCCAGACAAGCAGGTCATCTGATAAATTGGAAGAATAAATACCCGACAAGATGACCCGTCCTTCTAAAATGTGTGCCTCTCCTCTGAGGTTTAAGGACATTTTTTGTCTTCCCCATAAAGCCTCTCCAGTGTCATGAGTCCCGGGCCTTCTTGCTGTAGACCCTGCTTCCACAGTCCACACTTCACACAAAGCCACGACACCGTGTTTCATGATTTAGAAGAGGGTTTCCCTTTCTAAGGAGGATACAATCAGACTTTTTTGTTTGTAAAGCCCAAGTTAATAACCTTTCAAAACGGATCTCAAAATGGAATGGCCCACGCTGACAAACGTGGTCAGAATTCTGGCACACAGAGTAAGCAGCCCTGTGCATCACAAGGCACTGCGCCCCCAGGCATGTTTCTCAATCCTTACATGTTGTTTTGTCAATCTTTTCATGTCACTAATGGAGGAAGATGGTAAAGCAGTTCAGCTCCTTGTCCCTTTCCTCTGTTGGTTCCTGTACTAGGTGTCTTCTCTTTGCCTTTCTAGAGCCACATTTTACCTGTCCACTCCAGACCAAGGAGGGAGGCTGGCCCAAATGAACATCATCAACAGACTCATGCTTTCTGGCTTCTAGCTGGGTTTGGGTAAAGGAAGTCATCAGCAGGCACTGGGAAGTGGGGTGCAGAGTGAGGTGGGGAGTTTATTACTGCAGCTCACTCCCAGTTCAAGAGGGTTAGCTCCTCCCACTTCTGATGGGTGGTCCTTTCCTGTAGCTGCTCTCTCAGGGTGCCCAGAATCTCCCTTCCCTGACAGCCTTCACGCTTAGAGATGGTAACCAAGGAACTGCACGACCCATTGTTGGTTTCATAAGTTCTTCCTACATATTGGTAATAGTCCCTTTATTAAAAATTCCTCAACTAGCCTGTTTGCACAAGCCATCAGGTTCTTGTGGGGATTCTAATTGATAGTACTTTGTTGTGTTTCTCTCTCACTTTTTCTCTCTTTTTTTTGGTTCTCTTATTCTCCTTTGTCCCACTCCTCTCCTCCAATTTCTTCTCCGTGTCTACCATTTTTTCTTTCTATCCCTATCTCCTCCATCTGAATACTCAATTTTTTCTCTGTTGTTTTAAAGTATTACTATTAAAGTAATACAGCCCGGTGCGATGGCTCACGCCTGTAATTACAGCACTTTGGGAGGCTGAGGCAGGCGGATCACGAGGTCAGGAGATTGAGACCGTCCTGGCTAACATGGTGAAACCCCATCTCTACTAAAAATACAAAAAAAAATTAGCCAGATGTGGTGGTGGGTGCCTGTAGTCCCAGCTACTGGGGAGGCTGAGGCAGGAGAATGATGTGAACCCAGGAGGTGGAGCTTGCAGTGAGCAGAGATCGTGCCACTGCACTCCAGCCTGGGCGACAGAGTGAGACTTCCTCTCAAAAACAAAACAAAACAAAAAACCCAAAAGCAAAACCAGAAACAAACAGACAAACAAAAAGTAATACTGCATTTATTTACCTTATTTAGGAATGGAGATGAGCATCAATTAACAAAAAACTTAAATAATTTGAAGAACACAAAAACAAGATATGGTGGCTGCTGGGAGTGTAAAATGGTACAACCACTTTGGAAAACAGTTTGACAGTTTCTTAAAAAGTAAAATACACGTCGACCATGCAATCTAACCATTCCATTCATAGGTATTTATCCAAGAAAATCAAAAGCATATGAGGACTTTTACATGAATGTTTGTAGCAGCTTTATTTTAAAAAGCCAAAAAATGGAAATAATCCAAAAGTCTACTAACAAGTGAGTGCTTAAAGTATATCTAAGCAATGGAATACTACTTAGCAACAAAATGGAATGAAATATTGATATATGCAACAGCACGGTTGGATCTCAAGATAACTAGGCTGTGCAAAAGAAGCCAGACAAAAAAGAGTACATACTGTATGACTCTAGTTATATATAAAAGCAACTAATTTATAGTGACAGAGAACAGATCAGTTGTTATCTGGAAAGCAAGGGCTCAGGGAGGACCAAGAGTTATAGATTATGAGGTGTGTAAGCTAACTTTTGAAGATAATGAATACGTTCACTATCTTGACTATGATGATTGTTTCATGTGTGTATACATATGTCAAAACTTATCAAATTGTGCACTTTAAATATGTGCAGCTTATTTAAATATGTCAGTTACACCTCAAAAAGCTGTTAAAAATAACACACAGTGATGAGTTTAAAGATGGTGTATTACTTTCCTGTTGCTGCTGTAACAAATTACCCCACGCACTTAATGGCTTAAAACAATGTAAGTGTATTCTTTTACAGTTTGCAGGTCAAAGGTCCAACCAAGATCAGTATCACTGGACTCAAGTCAAGGTATGGGAAGGGCTGATCTCTTTTGCAGCATCTTAAGGGAGAATCTATTGTATTCTTCAGCATCTGCTTGCCACCTGTTTTCCTTCTCTGTGGCCTCTTCCTCATCTTCAAAGTGAGTTACTTAAATCTCTGCATCATATCACCTTCTTTCCTCCGTGCTAAAATCACCTCCTCTTCTCTTCTCCTTCATGTAAGTACATTTATTATAACTACATTGTGATTACGTTTATTGCCCACTCAGACAGCCCAGGATAATCTCCCCATCTCAAGATGCTTAACTTAATCACACCTGCAAAGTCCTTTCTGCCACATAAGAAAACGTTTGCAAGCTCTGGGGATTAATGTGGGTATATTTGGGGCCATTATTCAGTCTACTGTAGATGGTATATTGTTCGCTCTGTGAAAATGCATATTGCTTAGTATCTAGGAATGGCTTATCTCCTTCTGCTTTGCACTGAAGTATTTATAAGTAGTGTTGGCTCTTGAAGAGAGGGGAACAACTTCCAGGTTGGATATTATATGAAAAAGCTCACTGTGCAGAAATCATCCACTTCCTGTGTGGAATTATAAGGCATCCCCAGTATAGCAGCCTAAACATGTTAAGTCCATTCTCACATGGGCCATACTTTTTCTTGAAGAAAGGGCTTAGGCAGCTGGGGGAAGGATGACCCTTTAGACGATTGTTACGATTTTGTGCAAAGTTAATCCTTATCTCAAAGGCTTCAGTCTGCCCCTTGTTAACCCATCTTTAATCATATCTGTGGTCTGACCCGGGAGATGCTGGGAAAATCCTCACCACCTGATTGCCAAAAGCAAACATCAGGGCCTATGTGTGGAGCTACTTCTAGGGAAGCTACTGAGGTGATACTCTCATTCCTAAAGTAGGGTAGACCCTTGAGCTTTGTTGACTGCGGACCTTGACCCTGGTGAACCTTCTCAGAAAAGCAGGGAGTCTAGAGATAGGGTGTATTATGATAGGGAACAGGGTCAGAGGGAGATTTTGCCTCTTAAGTCCCGCAGGGGTAGCAGATGGAGTGATGCTGTGACTGCCTACACCCTCTAGAGTGGCTGCCTCTTGTCTGCAGTCTGGCCCACACCGACAGTAGGCCCAATTTGTGGAAGCAGCCTTGCCCAATCCAGAAATGTCTCCAAGACTGAGAGTTCTTCAGTGTGATCTCCTTCAAAAGGGAGACAGTCATAAACAAATGACAAATGCAAACAAATAGAGACTGGGGATAGCTAGTGGTTGGGCTTTGAGTATCTCTAGCAATGCCTGTGGGGCTCACGGGATGGTTCTTGATCTGTAAATTGACAGGGATAGCCCACATTTACAGAGTACTCTCCTGTGGGCAGGGGAGAAGGTCTTATTTGTTCCTACTTGTTGCTCTGACAGGCCAGGTTTCCTCCATGTAGTTTAGCATCTGGGGACTCTGTCTTTCCTTTGCAAAGGATCAGGTGAAGGAGGTGTGGGAGCCTGGGGAGAAATGGGAATGAGCTCTGTGGGTGTGGACACAGCTGAAGTTCCTTCCCTTGCCTGAAGGGGCCAGCAAAGACCCAGATAGGGTGTAGACGTCTTGACTCCCAGGAGGGAAAAAAAATTCCTAACAGCCCATAAAACTCAGGAGACGGACAACTCCTATCTAGCAACTGTGTGATTTCTCTGCCTGGACATTGACAGATCCTCCCACAGGGTTCCCTACCTGCCTGGAGATACTTGGGCTGGCCCTAGATGTTGGAAAATGGCAGTCTGTGTGGGATTCAGGAGAGGGAGTGCTCCCAAGGGCCTGGATGGAAGGGGCCACAAGGGTATAGGATCTCCCACCGAGTAGCTTTGCCCTCTTGGATATTCCTGGGATGCCTGTGCCCCAGCCAGAGCCTGTAATCAAGCCATCAGAACTAATAAGATAATTTCCGCATTAAATTAAACTGTGGATGAAGGATAGGGATGCAGGAACAGACTAATGGCTCTAATGATTTTCCCCAACCTTTCACATCTCAATATAGTACAGTCATCAGACTCCTTGTTCATGTGCTAGAAAAATGATGACTCCTCGGAGAAGCTGCTGGCAATGATCATTTAGTTTCTAATTCTTTTGTGTTTAGTTGGGTGGGGTCAGGCAGGATAAACCATGGTAGAGGAGAACAGTCAATCACAATCTGCTCCATAGATAAGCATCTCTTTTCCCACCCAGTTTCCCTGGTTGCCATATTTTCAACAATCAAGAATATTCTTATTTGTTAATTTACAAAAGTAAATTCTTCTTATAAAAAAACAAATAAAAAACAAAAGCCTCCTTTTACTTTACTCCTCCCATCTACTCGCTTTCTCAGAAGTATCTATCATTGTTGATTTGGAGAATGTCCTTCTCTCTATATGTGGTGGTTTAAAAATATGTCCACAACTATTTGACATGACTTCTTTCAAAAGGTGGAACCCCCTCCCGTCATCTTAAGTGCAGGATGGACTTAGTGACTCATGTTTAAAGCATAGAATGTGGCAGGAGTGATGATTTATGATGTCTGAGACTCGGATGTAAGTGGTGTTGAGCCTTCCTCTCTTGTTTTCTCCAACCCCTTGTTCTGGGGGAAGCCAGCTGCCATGTTGTGAGGACACTCAAGCCAACCCAAGGACAGTAATGTGTGTTGAGGAACTGAGGCCTCCTGCCAGCAACCACATGAAGATCCATAAACAGATTATTGTAATGGATTCTGCCACCTGTGAGGCCATAGGCTCCCAGATGTCAGGGGTGCTCTGAAATTCAGGATTCCCAGGTACAGGAAAATGAGCAGAGGACAGAGCACACAATCCCCAGGCACATTTTTATATTGACATGCAGTACCTAAGGATGTATATAACAGGTGTGTCTATTTTCAGTGGCTTGGGTTATGTGGTGGTTGCTGATATTTGCTGCACAGTCGCCCTTCAGGGTTAGAGGATTTATTACCCTAGCTGCTGGGAGAACTGCTGGCAGAGAGCCCTCACCCATCAACCTCCTCTGCGATTTCCTAAACTGAAGAGAGCCATCGTGCCCAGGGTTATGCCACTTCCCAGCAGCCCACATCCAGGATCGAATAATGAGTGGTATAGAGCCCGGCCCTTACACCCCAACTCAGGAGAGGCTCTGATGGCCACCCCATCTTCAGAACTCCCTGCAGGATTGGCTGAGGCATTCATTGAGACTGCATTGCAGCTGAACTTCATCATCTTCCCATTCCCACGTCGTTCCCTTCCCTTTCACAGGTGTTGATACTCAAAGCACTCCCCAGTGAGCTTCTTGCATACTAACCTCCATCTCGGAGTCTGCTTCCTGGAAACACAGGCAGGGACAGTGGGTTGTTCCAGGATGTTCTTGGAAAGCAGATGAAGAGACAGTGTCTTAGAGCAGGATTACTGGCCACCCATCTGGCATCACTGGTGGTAGATGGGGCATCAATAGCTAGTAGCAGAAGGTGGTGGTGCAGTCGCTCACTGGTGATGCGCTGCAATGGTGTACTTGTGGAAGGGAGTGCATTAACTGGAACAAGGTATTAGGCATTTGAGAAATATAGGGGGTGTGGTAACTATACTGATGCTCAGGAAAAGGATAATGAAAAGCTGAAAGTAATTAATCAGGTATTACAAGCTAAGTGTTGACTGGGCATGGTGGTTCACACCTGTAATCCTAGCACTTTGGGAGGCTGACGGGGGTGGATCACTTGTGGTTAGGAGTTCGAGACCAGCTTGGGCAACATGAAGAAACCCTGTCTCTACTAAAAACACAAAAATTAGCCCGGCATGGTGGCAGGTGCCTGTAATCCCAGCTACTTGAGAGGCTGAGGCAGGAGAATCGCTTGAACCCCGGAGGTGGAGGTTGCAGTGAGCTGAGATTGCACCACTGCACTCAAGCCTGGTGAGTGCAGAGTGAGACATCGCTAAAGAGAAGAAAAAACTGTCAAAGCTGGAGGACCTTTTAAAAAAGAGTAGAGGAGCTCCAAAGGAGGTTAAACTCCCACACAAGGCAGGTCTGCCATGCCAAGGACAGGGCATCTGGATGGGAAGAAGTGGGACCCTGACACATATCTGAGTTGATGTCCCCAGATCTTGACTTCCCAGTTTCCCTGGGAACCAACGGTTAGAAGCAGGAGTGGCTCTGTTTACCATCACACCCAGTGGCCAACTCGGGGACATCCCACACCCCGTACCCTGCTGCATTCCTACATCTGTGGACTCTGTTAATTTAGAGGTCTTAGATCTCAAAGGGGAATGCCTTTATTTGGGAGTAAGCAAAAGCCTTGTTCAGCTATAAGCTATGGCTGCCATTTGGATACTTTGAGCTTCTTGTGACAAAGAACAGCAGGGAAATAGAGGATTCTCATCCTCACAGGACTGAATGACCCTTATCATTAAGTGGGGTCAGGACACATTGAGAAGGCAGTATGGGGAATCTCTTCAGGTATAAGTGGATATAAGCCCTTGACACAGAAATCTACTTTATGGATGTACAGCTAGTCATCTGTATCCATGGGTTCTGCATCCAATGGATTTGACCAATGGTATGTTGAAAATACTTTGTTAAAAATTGTGTCTGTACTTAATATGTACAGACTTTTTTTTCTTGTCATGATTCCTTAATCAATACAGTACAACAACCATTTACATAGCAGTTACATGGTATTAGGTATTATAAGTAATACATAGATGATTTAAAGTATATGGGAGGATGTGCTTAGGTTATATGAGATTTTGGCATTTGCAGGAGGTTAATGACATTTGGAGGTGGAGCCTTTGGGAGGTAATTAAGATTAGATAAGATCATCAGGGTGGGGCCCCCATGATAAGACTGGTGGTTTCATAAGAAGCAGAAGAGAGACCTAAACTGGCACACACACTTCCCTCTCACTATGTGATGTCCTCTGTCATGTTATGACATAGTGAGAAGGGCCTCACCAGCAGCAGCCTCTCAACCTTGGACCCCCTGAAGAAATGTAAGAAATAAATTTCTTTTCTTTATAAATTATCT